AAACTTCAATACAAATGCATCACTGCATTTAGTGATGCTACAGTGTCGCAGTTTAGTGACACTTTTACAGTGACACTAATTTTAGTGTCACAACTCCCACCATTCGTTGACACTTTTTAAGTGTCACTAAAACTTTTAGTGACACTAATTTAGTGTCACTATAGACCATTTTTCTAGTAGTGCCAGCTTGGGAGGTTGCCTGCCTATCACTCTTTGAAGAGACTCGGGTTGGAGATTGAGAGCGAGGGTGCTCCTTCAGCCATGACACAACAACATCTTGACCACACTCTTTCACCAAACTCTGATCGTGTGATCAATTACATTAACAAGGTACTACTAGAGCAGGACGTTGACTCAAATAATGATGACTTGTTCTGTGATCATATTGCGCTAAGAGCTGCTGAGAATTATTTCTATGAAGCGTTGGGCGAGAACCCCTCATTTGAGAGCAGAGACGAAAGTCGAGAAGACAACTTAGTTGGGACTTGCACTTGTGATTCTAATCCCGGAGAGTGTAAACCATCTGGCACAAGTGATCCTCCTCATATCTTCATCCACTCCTCTTCACCACCTCATCAAGCTAACTTGGATGGGTTAAATAGTTCTTTATATAGCTCCGGCGAGAGTGCTAATTTGGTTCCACATTTATTTTTTGATGACCAAATTGCATCCATTTTACCATTTCAGAGAGGCGTGGAGGAATCTAGAAGATTCTTTGGCGCCATTAATCCGATGGTCATCCATCTTGATAATAAATACTTGATGCAACCGGAAATGACCAAGGAATTGATTATTGGTAGTGCGGTGAGTACAGAGAGGGAGGATCATAGAGTTGGTTCTTGTAAGGGGAGGAAACATGACCGTCCAAGTGAAAACAAAGATGAGGAAAGGAGCTTGAAGCAAAGTGCAACTTATGAGGAGGAAGTTGAGTTATCAAAGTGTTTGATAAAGTTTTGTTGTGTGTTGATGATAGTGATAATTTCCCACAAGTTGGAGTGCAAACGGAAAGGAAGAAATGGTGGCAAGAGTTGTTCAAATAAACGAGGAAAGGGTTATGAAAATGTGGATGTGGTGCTCAAATGTGCCAAATCTATTGGGGTTGCTGATTACAACACAGCTGTAGAACAACTAAAGGAGATTAGACAGTACACTTCACCTGACGGGAATGCAAATCAAAGGTTGGCACATACATTTGCTAATGGTCTTGAGGCACGGTTGGGTGGAACTTGGTCACAACTTTATCCTTCATCATCATTTCCGCAATGAAATCACAGTTTCTGAATTTCAAAAGTCTCACATGTCACCATCTATGCCATTTAGGAGGATAATAATCTTCTGTGCGAACAAAATGATTTATGAAGTAGCTTCAAGAGGCAAATCATTGCACGTTATAGATTTTTGTATTCTTTATGGTATCCAATGGCCCACTCTTATTTGAAATCTTTCACAAAGACCCGGTGGCCCTCCAAAACTTCGCATAACAGGGTTTGACCTTCTCCAACCTGGTTTTCGTCCATCGCAAATGGTAGTCGAGACTGGTTGTCGCTTGGCTAGATATTGCGAGAGTTTTGGTGTGCCATTTGAATACAATGCCATAACAGCAACAAATTGGGAGGCAATTACGATTAGTGACTTGAAGCTCCAGAGGGGTGAGGTAGTTGCTGTTAACTATATTGATCGATTCAAACTCCTACTAGATGAGATATATAGTATATGTTGAGGACAACCCCAGGGATGCTGTTTTAAAGTTAATTCGTGACGCAAACCTCTCCTTTCTTCGTCAGTCGGTTCCGAGAGGTTCTCTACTTCTGCTCTGCTGCTTTTGATATGTTTGCAACTTTTTTCCCAAACCATGATACTCATATGTTGAATTATGAACAATCATTGATGGGCCCTATAATAGGAAATGTTATAGCATGCAAGGGAAGGGAAAGATTTGAGAGGCCCGAAACATACAAACAATGGCAAACTCGCACTATGAGGGATGGGTTCAATCCTCTACCTCTCAACCCTAAACTTATGAGAAAGTTAAGAGCCAAGGCAGTAGAAGCATGTTACAAAGACATTTTATTTTCTGAAGATGGCCCTTGGGTGTTGCAGGGATGGAAAGGCCGGGTTATGTTTGCCACATCTGCCTGGGTCACTCGCAAGCGGTAATCATAAGATACCTAAATGAACGTTGCACCTAAGAAGCTCAGAGCATCTCCAATGTTATAATGTCCACGTCGCATATGTGGCATGAGTGATAGCCACATAAATATTAGCAAATAAATTATTTTTCTCCTTATTTGAATGATTTTATACAATTTTGGTAAGTTTTCCCCTGCAATGTCAACAACAATGTCAACATCTAGACGGTCTCATTGACAGTGTGGAGAAAAACTTACCAAAACTGTATAAAATCATTCAAATAAGGAGAGAAAAAATTTATTTACTAATATTTATGTGGCTATTTCTCATGCCACGTGTGCACCGTACACATTTTACCATTGGAGATGCTCTCAAAACCACCCACATCTCATGTCCTATAATTTTCGGAAATTTAGAAACTTTAAATTCCCATTTCATGATTGTTTTCTTATTAATTAGCAATTTTAATTCTCATTTTTAATTCTCGTAGTTGAACGTGCAATGGTTTGTTGTCATTGCGCCTAGCTCTTGAGATGTTCTATCTAAACTAATTTGTCATATTTTTTCATGATTTCTTGCTCATTATTGTTGTCTTAAACAACTACGAGTTCTCCTCATATTTCTTAAAGTAATAACTCGGAGAAATTATCTTTCTAACAAACTCTTCATACTTGTGTACAAAATATTTGAATTCAACTTTAAATACTTACTAGTTACTTGGAAGATGAGGAGCACGTGTACGGTGTCAAATAAAGCTACTGGACAACCTGGGCTCTTATACCAAATTTGTAACGCCCCTCTTAGGGTTAAAAGAAATGTTAAATTAACTTACGACTTTAAATAACTGCAATATAACGACCATTTGTTTAAGAAAATAACCCTGATAAAATCTCAAAAGTAACTAAAATAGTTCCAAATAAAAATTTAGTAAAATCTAGTTATCACCAGCAAATGTGATATGCATCCAAGAATTAACTCAAACTTCAAATCTTTAAAGAAAATAAAGTACTACCTCCGTCCCAAATTGATTTGCAAATTTGACTTTTCTTGGTCAAACAGTTTCGTTTTGTTCACTTAATTAGGATGTCAATTTTTAATTATATTTTAATTTGGAGTTTACAACTTTGAAGAGATTTTAATGTAGTTTATGAATATGTAAAATTTAATTATTAAAAATTGAATTAATTATCCATACGGAGCATTGACTTTTATTATTGGTTGACCAAAAAATGTTGACTTTGCAAAACAAATTGGGACGGAGGGAGTACTAATAATCACTTTATTATATCTGAAATTCTCAAATAAAATAACAACTAGCTAGAAGCCGCCAAGGTAATTTCCCTTAACTCATTTGGGCACGCGTTTCATTCCATCGTCGTCTTCCTAGATAGGCTTTAGTCTTACCTTTAATATTTGTCCATGTGAAGAAAGAAAACCATAGCTCTACGCTCAGTAAGTCATTATGGATCCACAAAAATATTTGGGAAGTCTATGCTAATTTATCAATTGATAAATTTAGACCATAAACATGCACTTAACAAATAACTTCTCAAATAGATAATGAAAGAGATCCAAAAAGAATATACTTTCTTAAACAATTTCTTAAAAATTGCTAAGAGATCTCAAAAATCTTACTGAAATAACTCTGATATGACTTGTGAAAAGATATCAATATACTTTCTCAAAACATTTCTGTAAAACTTTTTGAAAACTCTTAGTGGCTAATTTAAATGTACACTACTTAAATAATTGCTATTTGATTTGGCCATTTTAACCTATTTCTTGCGCTTCCGACCCGCGGCAATCGGCAGCGCTGGAAATAGTAGGAATAGCTATTTGCTGCGGTTCGGAACCGCAACAAATAGCTAATTTAAAAAACGTAAAATTCACATAATATCAAATAGTCTAAAATCATCTATATTAAAAATCAACCAAACTTCTTTCTTTCATTTGGTTGCAAACATGTATAGGTGGTAGTGAACTTATCTGTTAGAAGCTGAACTCAAATTACTCAAATAAGTGGGACACCTTGATAATGTCTCCTGGTAAGCCCTTCCTTAATAATCTTTAATTAAATGTAATTTTTTTAAAATGTAATTAAATGTAATGATATAATAAGAATCTTTAATAAAATGTAATTACATAATACTCCCTCCGTCCCATAATAGTTGTCCACTTTCAATTTGGCACGATTATTAATAAAGTGGTTGAAAAGTAAAAGTTGTGGTTGAGATTTGAGTAGAATAAAGTGAATTAAAAAGAACCACATATTTCATGCCAAAAAAAGAAACAAGACATTCATTTTGAGACAACCCAAAAAGGAAAGTAGGACAACCAAAATGGGACGGAGGGAGTAAGAATCTTTAGGAAACAATGGCATAATGTTGGTGTTTTAATAAAACTTTTATAGTACAAATGAGACGAGATTAAGATAGTGGGGTTGTTTGGCAATCGGCTGTTAGCTTTAGCTGTTAGCTGGTTATGTCAACTGTTTGATCACAGCTGGTTGTGTTGGCTGTTTTGATTGGCTGGTTATATTAGCTTGTTGTTAATAAATGTTTGGTAAAACTAGCTAGCTGTTATAAAACAGCTGTTTGAATGTAAAATGACGTATAAGGACATGGGTGTATATATAATATTTGAGTAATGCTAATAGTTATAATGTTAAAACTATAATTTATTTGCAAAATAAATTATTTAAGAAAAACAATATTTTATTTGTAATTGTAAAAATACATGATGCAATATGCAACAATAATTTAGTAAATAATATAAATTATAAAACAAGTCAATAAGATATCATAAGTTCACAATATTTCAACATTGTTTAAAAGGGGAAAAAGTTAACATTACAACGAGCATAACAAACGTAAATGTCTAAGGTAAAAGCTCAGAAACATCCAAACAAATTTAGTTCCCTGACTTATTGTACATAAACTTGATGTACTCCACCCTACTATTGTCATCCGGTAAACAAAAGAAAATTGTTCGTCGTTGCGGATCCTCAAACATTGAACAACCAAAGAAAAACTCGGGAGAAGTGGTAGATAGACCATCCAAGCAACACAGTTTTGCCATTGCTTCTCCAAGACTGTATTCTGATGTGTTCTTACTTGAATTGGCTTGAATCATATCTTTCATTAAATTTGTAACTTCATTGATTGATTCACCCCTTTTCAAAACCACTTCCATCATGCCACCAAACATTTCTTGAAATGCCGCCATCCCTGTTTTCTTTTTTTGATTTGTTTTGGCACTTTTACTGCTTTGTGATGAATCACCTTCAAGTGCCCTCTTACCTTTCCTTATATCATCTCTTCCAGTTTGTGAGATCTGAGGGATATGCGTGGAAGGAGATGAAGACGTAGGGCTAAGCTCACACCACAAATCATCCCATGATGCATTAGTTGTACCGTGTACACTGTCGTTATTCTCTTCCTCTCCAGCACCCATATCATGATGAATATCAGTAGGTAGGGAAGGAATATAAACATCATCAGCATCCACATGCAAATCTTCTTCTGAGATGATATTTCCTGGAGTGTACTTTAGATTTCCTTGGGCTGAAGTAGCAAAGATTTGATCCATTTTGTATTCAAGCTCAGGCTCAATCCCTTCGTCTTGAAATTGTTCAAACTTAGCATTTTCCTATTAAAAAAATTGAACAAATGTTGTATAATTGTATTGCTATTCAAGCTATGTACTAACGTATTTGTCTAAATATAACTAACCTGTATTTTTAAGGCCCACTAATCACTAGAAGCACTTATAGTTCCTTTCACATGATCCCATCCCAAGCCTGTTTCTTTTCCCTTCAATTGTTTCCACAAGCTCCATGATTTTTTTATCGTATCAAGCTTGTTTTTCAATTTCATTTTATCCCATGGTAACTTAGTCTCCTTTAGAAAATCCAACTCAATTTTCTTCCACACCAATCTTTGAGATACAACTCCACCATTTTTTCCTTTACTTTTTTCAACATGCTTAATACAAAGATCACAAAGGACGTGAAGTGAGTTTTTTGACCAAATAACTCGTCCTGCTTTGTTTTCAGTTGTATTGTCATGTTCACCGCTTTGAGAATCATCTATACTTTTCTTTCGTAGAGGAGCCATCTAAAACTCAAAATAACAAAGTACGTATATGTAAAAGAAATTGTTATAACTAAACGAAAATTTACTAACAATGTAATAACAAAACTATTACCTTAAAAAATTTATTCAATACTAAACTAAACTAGTAAAAAAAGTAAAGCTTTCAATTGAGAGAGTTTTAAAGTTGTTCCAGAACTATTTCATATAACCTCCTGTACTTTATATTTCAATTTTCAATTTACAAGCACTTTAATAAACCAAATACATACGAAAACATTCTATTAAGTATATTAAAACACAAATAACATTTACAAGCATTTTCTATCAACTAAACTACTTCGTATTACACATAACCATTGTTCACTTATCACTAATTATTAACTTAATAAGATAGAACCCCATATAAGAAAGATTATGACCCCATATTGAAAAGGTAAGAGACAGATGGTCATCATCCTTGCTCAAATCAAACTATTGATCTATACCATGAAGTTATGTAAGGGTGCTGGAACACATATTAATGAAATGTATATCATATCACCAATAAAGTTTAAGACATATATGCATTCATATATCACAGAGTATTTTCAGGTTGGAATAAATACCATGACCTTTACACACATGAAAATTACACGCAATAGAGTAACTATGGAACTGCTTAGGTGAGATGAACCAAATAAGCTATATTTGATGTTCTTAATATGATGTTTGGACTTCTCAAGATTTATTAATGAATCTATTGAATTGCCTTGAAACAATAATTGAGTTTTGTCTGAATAAATTGAAAGATAAATTGAATGCAGGACTTGCTTTGGGAGTATTTAACAGTATGTGTGAAGATGCCATGGGGGCTAAAAAACTTATTCGTATTTGGGAGTATTTAATTAATTGGGAGATTTGGGATATTTGGGTTTTGGGATACAAGTTTGGGGTATTCCTTTGCCCAAAAAAAAAAACGGTTTGGGGTATTCCATGGAGCCAATATATCTGGGATTATCTTTTTTCCCTTAGCTATGATGTAACGTACACATTACATTTCAAAGTGTATATAGAGTATTTTGTTGAAATATCCTAGTATACTTCGTATGTGATACTATGTATATCTTAGACATACACTAGAATATTTTTCAGTTGTTTTTTTGTGTGTGGAAGAATCAGTTTTTTTTTAAACGAGCTTATTCAAATATTAATTGCTTTTAATTTTTCTTAATACATTCGCGTGCATCGCACGGGTACTATACTAGTACAAAGAAAAAACTCACAACCAGTCCTGTGAATATAAAAGTGCAGCAGATGCAACCAAACAAAAAACTAATTCCTCACAAGCATTTTAACAAACACCTTTTGGGCAAGTAGAAAATCAGAAACATATAAAGAAAACCACAAGCACCAAGCTGCCTAATATTCACAACAATAATACACTTGCAAAGTTAGCTCACTCAAACATCAATACCCAAAATAATTCACCTACATATCAAGCTTTAAAATCAAAATCAATTCATTAATACACAATCTAAAAAATACTTTTTTGTTCAAATAAAGTTTGAATATATATGAGTGATTCCCATTTCAGAATCAGGGGCGGCCCTGGGGGGGGGGCAGGTGGGGCGGTGGCCCTAGGCCAAAAAAAAATGAAAAATTATTAGGCCCAAAATTATTTCTTTACAGTGTATTTGAGTAGGCTGAGTTTTTACCCTAAATTATTAATTTTGTATAGTCCAAGCAGCCCAAGCAGCCCAAAGGCCCGAAATGAAAAAAAAGCGGAGAAACTAAACGTCGTCGCGCAAGAGATTCGTTTCCATGCTGTTTTCAACCTTCAGCCAAATAGCCAATCAGCCTTCAACCCTTCAGTCTTCACGAATCACGAATTCTGATCTGCCATTTTGCCTTAAGGCTTTTAAACTTGTGGTTATCAGGTACGCCTTCCAACGCTCCGTTCTGGCCATTGTTTATTTATTGTACAGAATAGTTTTTAACATTCTCCGTTGTTAATTTATTTGAGTAGTACGAACATATGATTGTGTATTTGTGTGATCAATTAAGTAATTCATAAATTGATTTAATTTGTAGTTGTTAAATGTTTATAAATGATTATGAATAGTTGATAAATAATTGGATGATTTTGTGAGATGTTAATTACTTAATTGATGATTGTTGTGTTATAATTTGTTCATTTTATTAGGTAAAAATTTTCAATTATAATCAAAATTTTAAATTTAACTAATTTCAAGGTTTGATAAAAATGAGCGAATTAATCCGGACGGGAGAAATTAAAAATTATATGCGATCAACAATGTCTCAAGAAAGGCTTATTGGATTAGCTATATTAAACATTGAGCACAATGTGTTGTGAAAGCTTGATTATGAAGCTATAGTTGATGACTTTGCCTCACAATGTTCAACAAGGAATGTATTTAAGTATTTTTTTTGTTATTTTGAAAACGTGATTCGACTATGTTTAATTTAATGAATTCAAGTATTTTCTTTATTATAAAGGTATTCAAATAGTAATATTTTGCATGTTAATTTAGATAGAAATGTATTTTACAATTTTTTTTATTTAAATTAGACCCATTTTAAATTTTTCGCCCCTAGGCCTTCAATGATACAGGGCCGCCCCTGTTCAGAATACCTGGGCTGGAGTCTTGTGAAGGAATGAAGATCTTTCTTCCTTGAGCCTTTCTCCTATGTTGGTATCATATTGTTTTCTGATAAACATTTCAAAAAGTATCAGGCATCTCAAGAGGACACAAAATGCAAATTAATGGAAAATACAAAGTAGACCTCACACATATACCACCTGCGACAAAGTAAAAGAAGACAGAGAGGGGAGGTCAACAAGGGGAACGGACGCAGACCAGTTGCTGTAGAATAGAATAACGTCGCGGGAGAGAAAGAAAAACATGGAAGAAATACAAAGTAATGGGATAAAATCAGAGAAGAAAAATCGAAGCTACATACCTTTGTTTGTAGTTAGCGAAGAAGAAAGATGACTGAGAAAAAGAATGGAGATGTCTGGTGTGATGTCTAAATGGGTATCAGGGTATAAACGGGAAAAAAAATTGGATAAGCCGAAATCTGACCTAAACGCTGCCTGGGCCAGCTTTTAAAATTTCGGCTTCTTCATATGGATAAGCCGAACGGACAAGCTGATTACCAAACAAGATTTTTGACGTTTTAATCTGGTCAAACATCTATTTTGAGTCAAACAAGCTAAAAAATGGCTTATAAGTTGTTTGCCAAACAACCCCAGTGTGTATTGTGTGATAAAGAATTGTGCAGAAAAGAAAAAATTTATAAAAAATTATCCGAACTACAAATGTTTTACCAAAAAAATGAAAGTTTAATTGAGAAAGAGAAAAAAGGAAATTTGAAAGTTTATTTAGAAATCAATTTTAAAGAAATGTGTTGACTTGACTCTGTCAACTTAGTAACAATTAAATATGGAGTAATAATTGGTATAAATATAGAAAACCTACCAACTTTTTTCAACTATTGAGCACCGTTCTGCATCTAGTCAGTGATCAGCCCCAAGATAACGAAACCGGACGCAATCTCGTCCCCGTACATATCTTTGATTTTATGGCCTTATTTGTCCGGTCATTTTCACCCGTCCCGCTGGGCGTTGACTTAATAGCTGCTACGACTTTTCTACCCGACGACTTTATAGCCGAACGCTTTTTCCTGTAATTTTGTCTCTTCTAGGACTTCATAAATTAGTTCATAATTGAATTTTATAATGCGTAGTAATACTGCCTCTCCTCTGAATAATTCAACCACTCACAATTTTTCCGGGCATTGATATATAAAAAATCAATTAATTAATAAAATAATGATTGCTTTTATTTTTTAATTTATATTTCTAGCTAAATTTTTATTTTTGTGCGTAATTATTCAACATTATTACCATGAACCCATGATTCGCTGGAGAAGATAAAAACAGTCCACTACATTTTCAACTCTTAGCGTCAGATTCATTGAACGTGGACGGATTTCCGACCCGGTTCGGTTCTTTCATCTTTTGACCGTCCAAAAAGCATTTCGGTGATTTACTCATTCTGTAATTCCGATCCACATACAAATCCAGAGCATATAAATTTACCCGTTTTCACCCTTTCTCTGTTTGTTTGCCTTTCTTCTACAGTGAGGTGAATGGGGTGGGGGCCCCACTCAATTTCTCGCACCTGACGTGTCATCCACTATCAATGGCGTTCAAGGAAGCCTTATGAAGGACGGAGGTGAGAAAATGCGCCCTTTTTTTGGCGTGTGTATGTTTTTTATTCCCTGTGATCCATGAATGGGGTTATTAAAAGGTTGTTCTTAAATTCATTTGTTGTTATTCCATGTCTGTTCGAGGTTTTTGGGTGTTAAAGGGAATCTTTTTTGGGATTATCAGAAAGCTGCCAAACAGCTTTTAGCCTACTAATTAATGTTAATTTGTTCATATCCAAGAGAACATGGGTGGATACTTTTGGTGGGAAAAGTTGAAAAGGTTTTAGAAGGAGAAGAGCTGCATTAGTACTTTTGGGGAATCATGTCATGCACTCATGCATTAGAATGAACACTTCTGAGAATTATTCTACAGAAATGGTTGAAGATGCTGAATTTTCAGAGTAAAATGTGTTTGGTATAATACTTTTTGGAACAAATTGGTCAAATCAAAGTATATTTATTCTCCTTATTTTGCTAGTAAACAAAATACACCTACTGATGCTGCCAAACGGGGCCTAATTTGAACTATTATTTCTTTGCTGTGCCCCCACAGCCAAATGTGGTTGAATTAGACATTTCTTTCATCCAAAAAGATTAGTCCCCAACCCCAAGAGCCCCAAACCTGACCCGACAAAGCATATGGAAAGTTGTAAAACATGTTGTCTTAGTCGGTCCAAGAGTGGTAAACCTTAGTTATTCGTCCAAACTCCCCACCGTTCAACTAACTGAGCTACTAGAAGTATTTTGCATTAGCTTTCACAACTTCACTCTTTGATATACAAATTATTGTTTTGTGCTCTGATTTTTAGGAGTTCAGACTTCACATGGGACAAATCAATCCCCTTTTTCAAAATTCTTTTTCCTCATCATCATCACTTAAATGTCTAACATTTATTAACACTATAAACTTATAAGAAGACAATTGGCAAAGTTTTATTCTTTATGTTGCAATCTTCTAAGGAAGGAATAATGAGATGAAATTCTAAAGCTGTATTGCCGCAAGATCGATGCCATAAAGTGAAACATGCAAATGATGAAACGGGACCATAAAATTCTCGTGCTTTCTTTTTTTCAATTGGAAGAAGATAGAAATATAAAATATGTTTAACTACAACTCTTTTCATACGGAGTATTTATATTCATCATGGTAGGTAGGTTAGGTAGAATTACATCAATGAGTATGAAATGATGACAATGGTGTGGTGGGGGTAGGGAATGAATAGGTCTTGAGATGGTGATAGTCAATGAAGGGTCCTGTTGGTGGTTTTCTGAATGAAAGAAGGCTGATGGAAAACTGATTTCCATTTATGGAAGAAAGGCATATGTTCTTTAGCTTTTTAAAAAGCAATTTTTTTCAAGAAATAAATTACAATTTTTTAGTTTTGGAGGTCCTAAGTTCTTGCAGTACTTTACAAGGAATTACACCCATTTATGTCAGTTAATACTCAATTATATAGGTCAAGCAGCAAACCTCTTTGAGGTCAATACTTCGCCTCAAATGTGAATCATCACTAGTGGATGATTCTAACTTAGTGGCTGATATTAAACCAAATTGCACTGAAAATGTAGTTTGGTAATTGCCTTTTGGAAGACTTGAACTTTCAAAGTCTTCAGAATCTTCCAACTCATCTAAGGCATTTTTTATGTGTGAACGGCTGGCTGCATTTGTTTTCCTTCTATTTAAGGACAACTAAAACTGTAAGTCATGCCAATGGTGTAGGAATAATTTCGGGATGTAAAAAATGTGTTATTTTTTATTTATTAAATGTAGTTTGCTTGCTATGTTTACTATATTTGACCAAGCTGATCGATCAAATGCAGGTGAATTAAGATAGGATTTTTTATTTATAAGCCTGGAAATATATTAATTTACAGTGGAGACAGGCAAAAGAGAAGAGATGGACATAAGGAGTTTGTCATCTTCTCGACATGAAAACACACCGTATATTCACAAGGTGGGGGCCCCACGAAAAGAGAACCTCTTTAAGGAGATCAAGGACACTGTGAAGGAAACCTTGTTTGCAGATGATCCATTTCGGTCGTTTAAGGACCAGTCAAGGACTCGGCAGTTCATCCTTGGCATGCAAGCCATATTCCCCATTCTTGATTGGGGAAGAAATTATAGCCTTGCTAAATTCAGAGGTGATCTCATTGCTGGTCTAACCATAGCAAGCCTATGCATTCCTCAGGTATAACAATAATGCTATGATGTAATGATGATGATTATTATTTACATCAACAAATGTTCAAGTTTGAGGTCTTGTTTGGTAATTGTTATTCAACTGAATTTTCTGAAAGAAAAAACATTTGGTATCAAACCTTTCAGCCAAACAAGTTTAAAGCTACTTATTCTGCTTAATCCATTGATATGCAGAATAAACTACACGAGTCTACCAAACGGACCCGAAATTATTCATATCTAATTTGCTACTTGTTTACAATTTGTTTAATAGGACATTGGCTACTCGAAGCTTGCAAACTTAGATCCTCAATATGGACTATGTAAGAGTCTAATGGCCTTTTAAAATCTATTTAGGTGATTTTACTATGTCTTTTTTCTTTTTCTTTTTGCTGACAATCTATTATAATTCTGTTATGTAAGACTCAAGCTTTGTCCCACCATTGGTTTATGCATTTATGGGAAGCTCAAGAGATATAGCCATAGGACCAGTGGCTGTTGTGTCACTCTTGCTGGGAACTATGCTTCGTAATGAAATCGATCCAACTAAAAATGCAAGAGATTATAGGAGGCTCGCATTTACTGCCACTTTTTTTGCTGGCATCACGCAAGCTATCCTAGGGATCCTCAGGTAAATATTTTTAAGTTATCCCACATTGATAGAATATAAAAATACAAATTAACTTGTAAGGTCTTGTGTTAAGTATTACTATGATTGTGATTCTTGTGTTTGCCTCTGTCAGATTGGGGTTTCTGATCGACTTCTTGTCTCATGCTGCTGTTGTTGGTTTCATGGGCGGTGCTGCCATTACAATAGCCCTCCAACAGCTAAAAGGCTTTCTTGGAATAAAGAAATTCACAAGAAAAACAGATATTGTTTCTGTCATGAAGTCTGTATGGGGTTCAGTCCATCACGGAGTATGCATTAGTTGTCCCCCTCAGCTCCCTTTTTACCAACAAATTTTCCCAAGTATATTAAATAGTTACTGTTTGACCTTTTTATGTTCCATTATGAATTTGCAGTGGAATTGGCAGACCATTCTGATAGGGGCATCCTTTTTAGCTTTCCTCATGCTTGCAAAGTATATTGTAAGTAACTTTTTATATGCGTGTTTAAGTTGTTATCGTTAAGATGAAGTCCTTTTAGTGAGATTTAACTATTTATCTGCAGGGGAAAAAACACAAGAAACTGTTTTGGGTGCCTGCAATTGCTCCCCTGATATCAGTCATCCTCTCCACATTCTTCGTTTACATTACACATGCAGAAAAGAGAGGAGTTACGATTGTAAGTGTTTTACTTATTTTGCCACTTCTTTCATCTTGCATTCTTCTATTAGTGCTGAATATCGTTTTGGCCAGGTAAGTCACATTGAGAAAGGAATCAACCCTCCATCAGCAAATCAAATATATTTTTCTGGAGATTATCTTTTGAAAGGAGTGAGGATTGGCGTGGTAGCAGGCATGATTGCATTAACAGTAAGTTAAAATTGCCATTGGAACTAATTAATGATCGACCCCAATGGTTCTCTTCTCAAGTGGCTGGCTTTTCAGGAAGCTGTGGCTATTGGGAGAACATTTGCTTCCATGAAAGACTATCAATTGGATGGAAACAAGGAGATGGTGGCACTTGGAGTGATGAACATCGTTGGCTCAATGACCTCCTGCTATGTGGCAACAGGTGACACAATTAATATGAAAATTCATCCACCATTCTCGTAGAGACTATTGGAACATATAATATGAATAACTCTACTGATTATAAACATACTTTAAAAGGCTTTTAGACAGTTTGGCTATATCTATTAAGTCATCTGCCAATTATAAAAACACAAGCTTGCACATAAAAGGCTTTGGACCATTCCTCGTGGGACCAAAGTCGTAGTAATATCATAAAAATGCCAATCAGGCTCTTAATATGAGCAATGTATGTGGCTGCAATGTGCTTGTTGCAGGTTCCTTTTCCCGGTCAGCCGTGAACTTCATGGCAGGTTGCAACACAGCGGTTTCAAACATTGTGATGTCCTTAGTTGTATTCCTAACTCTGGAATTCTTGACCCCCCTCTTTAAGTACACGCCAAACGCAATCCTTTCTGCCATCATCATCTCTGCCGTGATTAGCTTAATTGACTATGATGCGGCAATATTGATTTGGAAAATAGATAAGTTTGACTTCATCGCTTGCATGGGAGCATTCTTGGGTGTGGTTTTTGTCTCTGTTGAGATTGGTCTTTTGATTGCGGTAAGGACAATAATCATCATATGCTTACAAATTTGTATGTCTAGAAAACGATCCTTTAGTTGCCTAATGTTGCAATTTGATTTTTTTTTTTAATGAGCACAGGTTTCAATATCCTTTGCTAAGATTTTGCTGCAAGTGACGAGGCCACGCACAGCCATTCTTGGAAGGATTCCCAGGACAAATGTATATAGGAATGTCCATCAATACCCCGAAGCAACAAAGGTTCCAGGTGTATTGATTGTGAGGGTTGACTCTGCCATTTACTTTTCAAACTCCAACTATATAAGGGAGAGGTAATATTTGTTGAGGCATCTCGAAATGCTAAAGAGAAACATATAGTTTATAAGACCTTGAGTTAGAAGATTAGCTAATTGATTGGATTCAACCTTTTAGTTTAATGACCATGTGCAAAAACACTTTTAACTCTTAATGTATGCATATGGCAGATTACTGAGATGGCTGATAGATGAGGAAGAGAACTTGAAAGCAGCTTCCCTCTCTAGAATTGATTTTTTGATTGTCGAGATGTCACGTAAGTTGATAGTTAACAGATCAGATTCAATCTTTTAGTATGATTTGACCCAAGTGTCTCAGACCCTAATCCTAATTTCTATCATAGCAAAACATCTTGTACTAGGAGATGACATTCTTATCATGATTTGTGTTTTTTTTGTTGTTGCAGCGGTTACCGACATCGACACTAGTGGCATTCACGCATTGGAAGAGCTGCATAGCAGCTTGCAGAAAAGAGATGTTCAGGTACCATATATATATATATCATATCATAACCAAAAAAATTAATCATATGTGATTATATTGTAAATTTGTAATGATTTATATTTGATATTAAGACAGCAGCAGTTGCATCCTAAAAGGTCAAACTGATAGGATGTTAGCTAAAGACTATATGTTCTTTTTATCTTTATATTTAATGGGAATGACATGGCTTAACCACTTGCACAATTGTGTTAAAAAGCTGGTTTTGGCCAACCCTGGAGGAGCTGTTATTGAAAAGCTGCATGCATCCAACTTCCCCAACCTCATTGGCGAAAACAAAATCTTCTTGACAGTACATGATGCCGTGGTAACTTGTTCTCCGAAACTGCCAGATGTGTAAGGGGTGTTGTGGGTGAAAGAAAAATGAGTGAGCTATATGCCTATATATATAAATGGATGTTTACAGATCATGATATCAACAAGCTGGGATAGCCATATGCATTACTTCCTAGAGCTTATTGCCTTATTCTGTAGTGCATGGTGGGGTGGGTCATCAAGAATCTGACTGATAGATAACACGACATGCCACATATAAAGAACTGGCACTTATGCTGTATGGAAGGTGTGTTTGAGCAAGTGATATACAAATTTGTTTTATGATGATCTGAAAACATTGTATCTTGATCAGTGTGTTCTGATGCTTAATAAAATGGCATTTTGAAGTGATTGAGAGATTACATGATTTTTGCATTTGGGACTATTTTTACACTTTTAAGAACGCTCTGCTAAACACCTGATAAGGAAGCATGTCATTCAGAATAACAGTTTTTAGGACCAAACAATCATCTTCTGAAGTAGTACAACTTCACAGGCAGGGCTGTGTTCAATGTAGTCTGCAGAACCTAATTACCTAAATGCTGTACAACAATTGTATTCAATCATAACACATAAACTAAGATTATCATATATAGAGGGAAAACAGAGTAAACTTTCTTTTCAGATCAATAAAATGAAAGTATAAAACATTGAAAGTAAAAGAAAGAAAAAATTATTTCCCAATGCAGAATTTTCCAAATATGCTAGTCAATATCTCTTCTGAAAAATCATCTCCACTAATTTGCCCAAGGGCCATGGCAGCTTCTCTCAGATCAATCGTCCAAAAATCAAGGGGAAGCTCCTCCTCCATTGAAGATTTGAGCCTATTGAATGCTTCCCTGGCCCGAATCAGCTGCTCCCATTGTCTCTGTTTGTTATCACCATTTTACCCTCATTCAATTTCATGCATGCGTGCAGTATTATTAATCATGAGGTTGAATGGCATAAAGGGTACCTCAACTAGGGGTATTGATGTACTTTGATACTTTAACTATTGAATGAATTAAATCAATAATGTACATACAGTTAATTGTTCCAGTCAATGGTACTAAATTTCAGGTATGTTCGCAAAAAAGTTTATAAGCAAATGTAATTAAACAACCAAATGGTACCAATAGTCAAAGTATACTACTTAACTTTATTCACCAATAGTCAAAGTACACTACTTAACTTTATTCACCAAAAAAAAACTTTATTCACCAATAGTCAAAGTATGAAAATACATCAAGGATGGTTTAACAAACCTGATTGACGGTCCATTTACGGCCCCCAGCGGGAATTTTGTCTAGCCCCACAATCTCAACAATCGCAGCCTCCAGATCTTGAATTCCTTGACCTGTGAGTGCACATGTAAAGATCTTCTTGTTAAAGGAAAAGCCACCACCAAATGCATCCACCGATTCAGAAGTAGACGGCGCACAGTCTATTTTGTTGACTGCCAGAATCATTGGACAATTTGATCCACAAGATGTAGCCTGCCATTTATATAGAAGAAAACCACATATATTCACCTCATAGATCCAAAAATCATTTCTAGTATCACAAACATAAAACGTGGACAAAAATAAGGTGTATCAGTCGTAAAACCTTGTTCCTTATTCTTTCAAGAAGTGCAGCATCATCTGCAGTCCAACCCTCACTAGCACTAACAGTCATTATAATTACATCAGCATTTCCAGCAGCCCTTTCAGACCGCTCCATGCCTAGGAATAAAGATATAAAAAAAGACATTGTTAAATTGTGCCTAACTCATTCAAATTTTCCAAAAGATCCTTTGGAAGTGAGATTTACCCCAAACATACTTCATGTCCCAAATACTAATCGTTTTAGAAAAGCTCACACAAATTAAGAAACATTGCAAGACTCTTTTACCTGTAAAAGGTTTAACATTAAGTACATCTTATTTTTTTTCAAAGCACCAAAACATTTAATGAGAAAGGAGTTAATTATGCACACATTTGAGATATTACTAGAAAATGTGCATTGTTTTTCTAAAATGAAATATTTTTTGGGACAAAAATGTAGGTTAAATGACATATGATTTGGGACACTAAATGGACCCCAAAACAAATATCAATATAACGCTTTTGAAAAACACTATGTGCAAAGTGGTAGCAACTTCAAAACAAAAATATATATAAACTTCAATTCAAACAGGTTTTCTAGAAAGAAAAAATAAATACCGATTTTCTCCACTGGATTATCAGAGTGCCGTATGCCAGCTGTATCAAGAAGGATGACAGGGATACCACGGACAGAAACATTAGATTCTATCACATCCCTTGTCGTTCCAGCAATATCTGTAACTATTGCTCTCTCACTCTGCATGCTAAATAAGCCATATAATAAGTCATACAATTAGATATTGTTAATACACTGAGCTTTTCTAATAATGTACTACGTAATAAATTTATAGCGCAAACACCAACTTTTCTAGTTTTCTACTGATTATGACAACTTTTGAGAGCCTCACTTCTGATAAAGATCTTAAATAAATATGAAATGATTGGAATTATAAAAAAAAAAATCAATCAGCAGAAAATGACAAGACTGTAGTTGGTCAACTACAGATTTGAACTACACAAAGCATTAAAAGTTATCTATGTTTAGTAATGCATATATGTTTATATTCAACAACAATATAATGAAGTCTGAAAACTAGAGAAATAAAAAAACATAACGTACTTTGCTCCATGCATTTAAAAGGCTTGATTTTCCAACATTTGGTCTACCAATAATTGCTATCTGTGACAAGTATCAAAACCGAATTAAAGCAAAAGCATATCAAAGCAAAATAAGAGACCAAAAGCATGAGAAATGAGTTTGCATAGGACCTTTGAGGTCTTTTTGGATGGAGGTTTTATTCTAGCTGAGGGCTTTGGAAAGCTTAGTATAAATCTTTATAAACAGAATGTTTCTCAGAAATAATACAGTTAATGAAATGTTATACAGTCATACTATTTTAACCTTTCAATTTATATCTAGCTATAGGCTAAGCATCTAAGGGTTGGTTTGCAAATGCTTTAAAAAAGCACTTCTCAGCTTTTGGCTTAAAAAGCACTTATTTTACCAAACACTACCAACTTTTATTTTTCTCGGCTTTCATGTCAAAAGTGCTTTTACTTTTTCTATTACACAAAAAGCACTTATTTTACCGAACACTACCAACTTTTACTTTTCAAAATCACTTTTACTCAAACACTATCAACTTTTATTTAATCACTTCTACCCATTTCATTAAAATAGCACTTTTTTAAAGCAGAAGTTGTTGCAAACACACCCTAAGCCCTTCAATTTTATTCCGTCCAAAAGACTGACAAAACCCTCCATCCAAACAGTCCCTTGAGCTCCCCAGCAACAAACTTGAGCTTTATGTGTGAATTTGACCAAAATATGCTAAGAATAAGCAAGTATATAGTAAGGAGAGAAACAAGAACGGCGTATTTCATATTTCAGGGTTGTTAAATGACACATTCCTTGGCAGGACCTACCAACAATGAAATGAGAACAAAGAACAAAATGCTGACCCATGAAACATTCTGTAGTGTGGATTATAATATGTATTATTATTTTTATTAATATTATTGCCTTTATAATTTGTGTGTGTTAATTGTAATCATGGGTTAGTGGTTGGAGTTAATTAAGAGCCCGCTTGGTAACCCCTATTTTTGATTTATCAATCAATTTCTTATCAACTACTTAATATTTTACTTTTGCACACTAAATTGTGTTATAATCAAACTAAGGCTTGAATTGTTTTTTTGGCTGAAAAGGTTAATTTTGCTCAGGAAAATTAATCAGCCTTTTCCATATAGTGTTTTCTTTATGTCATTAATAAAATAAGGAGTTTAGTTTAGATAGAACTTTTTTACAATCCCGCAAATTCAGCCAGAATTTCAGCAATTTTAGGATTTTTAGCCGATTCAGACAATATTACCAAACGTGCTCTAAAAGTGCTTCATCCACATAATAGCAGTTTAAGATGATGGATCCACTTTTCTAGGGTCGGTAACAATATTGCATTCAAGCAATAATGTAGTTCTTCTCTGCCTTTTCCCATTGAAGTCTTCTTATGTGGAGCAGTTGGTTTCTGCTTTAAGATTCATTATTATGTGATCAGGAAATCAAGACTGTTTGGGTGGTGAGCTTGTTTTCTACGATTAAGTAAACCTGTAGTCCAGATTGCAAAAGCTTGTCATAGTTAGCGGTCTCCAGTGCACTTTCAACATTTGTCACCATCCCAAATATTTTATCCATTATTTCGTCCAAATTAAGAGGTGGCATCTCATCATCAAAGTCCAAACGTGCTTCAATCTCAGTAAGCAACTCAATGCACTGCATCCTTAGAGATTTGACCAAAGAAGATAATCCCCCCTGTTCACATAAAAGAAATTCTTAGCCAGACAAACATGATATGTTCAGTCTGAAGTCTTAATATTATATTCATGAGTTAAATAGTGATACGATACATATGAACTAAAAAACGGAACCTAACACTCATATATACAAGAAACCTGTATTCCTGCCAATGCAGCATCAGCAGCAGCCATTGACTTAGCTGATATAAGCTTCCCAACATTCTCAGCTTGAGAAAGGTCTAAGCGCCCATTTAGGAATGCACGAAGAGTGAACTCACCTGGCATGATGAAACGTCAATATTTAACTCCGATAATATCTTAATTTCTTTTAGCATTGATGCTTTCATAAATAGGCAGCTTAGTTATGCACCACTTCTAATTAATTTAACAATTCCAAAGATTACACATCCATCTTCACTCCCAGAAATACTACCACCATCCCAAATTGGTTTGCCAGTTATGGTTTATGAGGATTGATTGAGTATAAAGCTCAATCTTCCCTAATCATATTTAAATTGATATTATTAAAAAACAAACATTTAGAAACTACTGTATAAGATCTATGGAACCGCAAGGACCAAACTCAAATGCTATAAATTTTAATTTCAGAAAATAAAAAGGGAATTGAGTTGACTAGTTGACAACATGAATAGTAAATTGGCAAACCATATAGGTATGGAAAGGTATGATTTATCCAGAAAGATGAAGGAGGGGACAAAGTAAGAGACTAACCTGGCTCAGCGAGTGTAGCCCCAGCCTGAAGACAAGCCCTCAACACACGGTTCAAGCATGTTTCGCTCCCATGACACTGAAGCTCTATCACATCTTCTCTAGTGTATGATTTTGGAGCTAGCATGGGAACCATCAAAACCTTTTCTTTTTCAAAAATATAACCAGAATTATGATGATATAGCATTCATAGATATACTTCTTTAATTAAATGCTAAACAAGTCTTACCAGTACAGGAAATTCATAAAATATTACAGTAATCCATTTTTTTCACACTTTCACAAGTTAATGATTTTCCAATTTGAATATATGGTATTTATAGACTAGAAACAGCCATTGGGTGTTAACACATCTTAATAATACTGTTACAAAAGGTTTAGGAATTAATTCAAGGAAAATCACAAAAATCCTGGGACTTTACTTACTTATGAGCAACTTAAAGTGATACAATTTAAAATAGACCCAGAATTCTAAAATCATACCTCATCAATCACATTCCCAGTAGAATCGAAAACAAAGCCATACTCCACAACATGGCTTTTTGGCCTCCACTCAGAGGTACGATCCTTGAACTTCTTCTTCATGGAACGAAAAATACTGCCAACAATTGAAACAGAGGAAGGACCAGAAAGCCGGACAATCCCAACAGCAGCCGGGGGACCACCCAAGGAAGTGACAATGGCCGCAATGGTGCTTGAGTTCGCGACTGGGTGGTCAGAAGAGTTCATCAATCCAGACCCCCACACCCTCTCATCTTTCTTCAGCACCAGAGTGTGGTCATTACTATTATCTGCTGCTAAAAAGAAAAAAGAACCTTCAGAAATATAACGAATGTGAGTAAACATAGGTTATGTTTGATTGAATAAGAGAAAAGGGGTGAAACCTCTGAGTTTGGGAGTGGAAGAGAAGAAAAGAGAGAACTTTCTGAGTAATCGGGTTGAGGGTAGCATAGCGTGGCGATGACGGAGGTGAGTGAACAGTAGAGAGCGGAATGGATGAAGAGTAGCCATTGGAGTGATTTTGCTGGCATGAGATTTTAGACACAAAAAGGCCACAATCTACTATGCGGCGTTTCTCGTTTGTTTCCCTGGGGTGCCCTGGGCGGGATAAGGGTCAGATAGGGCCTCGAACTCGAAAAAAAATGTCAAATAAGGTCATATTTAGGATGCTTTGTCCGGCCGACGCCATTTGGGGTGGTTCCCGATGGAATTTTTTGATGAAATTTTTTGAGCATCTTCCTCATTAAGTCTAGTTTACTCATACCAAATTTCACCTAAAAATGCAACCGGGAAGGTAGTCAAATGATTTTCCGAAATGTACGGGGTTGTTTAACTTCACAATTATCTTCAAAAAATTATTTGACTACCTTCCCAGTTGAATTTTTAGCTGAAATTTGGTATGGGTAAACTAGACTTAATGAGGAAGATGCTAAAAAAAATTCATCAAAAAATGACATCTGGAACCGCCCCAAATGGCGTCGGCCGGACAGAGCATCCAAAATATGACCTTATTTGACATTTTTTTTCGAGTTCGAGGCCCTATCTGACCCTATTCCTGCGCTGGGCTGAACCGAGCGATAAGTCGATAACCCGAGTGTTAACCCAATGCTACATTTTGAGCGTACAAAAGCGAACATAGGGTCACTTTAGTACTTGAATTCCTTTATATAGAGTAAGGGTCGGTTGGCAATCCATTAAAAAGGTGATTTTAATTTTTCGCACTTATTTTATTAAAACTAACAACTTTATTTTCTCGACTTTCGTGTAGAATCTACATTTTACTTTTTCTATTACACAAAAAACACTTATTTTACCAAACACTACCAACTTTTAATACTAATCACTTTTTCCCCAAAAGTGCTTTTATTTAAGCACAAGTGTTTACAAACAAAGCCTAAGTATATGAACTTCAGTCAAAACTTTGCTAATGCTTAAAAAATGCACTTTCAGCTTTTCTTTAGCATAAAAGCTGAATGAGGTGTTTGCAAATGAAAAATTCAGCTTAATTTAATCAGTTTTAAGCCAAAAGCCAAAAGCAGGTCCGGGCATGCTTTTTCATGCTTCTTGGTATTTCCGTAAATAACTTCGATGTTTTTATTTCTAAATATAAAAATTACTCCAAAAGTACCCTTATCCCAAGTACACTTGTATAGAGCATCTTCCATCATCCCTACGGGACAACCACCTTCCCTCCTCGAAAAATTGCAGTCGGCCGATGTGCTACGCTACGCCAGACCACCGCCGCCACTCCCACAGCAGATCTGCTTCGCCGCCACCGGCAGTCAGGGAGGAATCTGCACAACTGTTTCTGCTCTTTTCGGATTGTAATCATCATATTCTATTATTTTTTGCCCAATTCTACCAACCCTTTTTCAGCCTCTTCCGATTTTTCAATCCATAGCTCACTCGCTTTCTCTCCAGGGCAGAGCAATGCTGCCGTACGCCTGGAACATCCTTTTGTTGGCAACTGACGGGGCATCTTATTGTAGAGGCATGCTTATCTAATTGGAGGTTATTTTTGTAATTTAATAAAACACTACCTTAGGAATCACTTTTTTACCAAACACTCCAACTTTTACATTTTAATTAAAATCACTTCTATTCCCAAACACTACCAACTTTTACTACAAATTACTTTTCCAATAATATCTTAAAAAATCACTTTTAAAAAGCACAAGCAATCGCAAACACTCCCTTATACTCTCTCCCTCCGTCCCATTTTATTTGTCTTACTTTTCTTTTTGGGTTGTCCCAAAATAAGTGTCACATTTCCCTTTTTGGAAAGAAATATGTGGTTCACAACATTCTTCTTTATTATACTCAAATCTCAACCACAAATTTTACATTTTCAACCACTTTCTTAAAAATTGTGCCAAAACCAAATGAGACACACAAATGGGACAGAGGTAGTAAAATATTTCAATATCTGTGGAATTTTGACTTTCTCAAATATAAATGGACAACTTGGAAAAATTATTTAATAATTTTTTAATTTTTAGTTTAATCTAGTTAATATGGAAGTAAATTAAAAAATATGAGATGTTTCATAAAATTAATTTGTTATTTTTAAAGTGTATTTAACATTTGTAATATTTGTGTTGAACATATATTAAAATACTGTAAATTAAAATTAAGAATCACGAAATATTTGATAAAATTAATAGTTAAATAAGCAAATGTGTTTTAATTATAATAGTTAAATATCTTCTCATAATATAAGAAAGACATTGAACTAATCGCAATTGCTTTAGTCTCATAATTTATACAATTTGGAATTTCATGTGATGCAAAAAAACAACGGCAATAACAATAATAATAACAATAGTAATATTAGTAGTAGTAATAATAATCATAATAATAGTAGTAATAATAATAATACTAATAATAGTAATAATAATACTAACAATAACAATAATAACATCAATAACAATAACAACATTAACAACAAGAAAACAATAATAATAACAATAAAATTAAGGTGAAATTCATAAGAATAATCCCTACTTTTAGGGATTCTACAATAATAATCCCTACTCACATTGTCCACAAAATTAATCCAAACTAGCAAATTTGTTCATAACAATAAATTGGGGTGAATTCAAATTAATGTCATTTTAATACTCACAACCCTCATTCTCACTTTTCTTCCCCCGACTCTTCTTTCCGGGACAAATTCAAACTAAAACTTGTTTAATGTCAACATCATTTCCGCCATATGTGGTTCTATCTAGGTTGAAACATCGAAGTGTGAATCGAAACGGAAAGTGGTGAACTGAAAAGTGGAGGTAGGGTTTGAGAGTATCAAATGGACATTAATTTGAAGTCATTCTAATTTATTCTTATGGACATTATTGCTAGTACGGATTATTTTTATAGATATTCTAAATACAGATTATTATTGTAGAACCCATAAAAGTAGGGATTATTGTTGTGAATTTCGCCTAAAATTAATAATACTTACAGTGTAGTAATAACAATAATAATAATAATATACACATGAATTCTTTAAAATCATGTTTATAATTGCTCAAAAATATCAGTAAACATGTCTTTTCAACATAGGCGATGTTATTAAGAAATTCTTTAAATAATTTAGAACTTCTATTGATATTTACCATTTTAATTCATATCAACGTGACACTACCGGGGCATGCCCCGGGTGTTACACTAGTTGACTAGTAAGATTTAGTATATTCCAAACACTTAACAAAAGCTTAGCAAAATACCTCAAATAATAAGTGAAGTTAGGAGCATGAAATGATGAAAATACGATTAATTAAAGAATCATTTATTACAAACATATTTTATTTTTGTTTGACATAATTATTAATAAAAAGATTGAAAAAATATGATTAAGATTTAAGTATACTAAAGTAAAATATTGTCCATCATATATACTTCGTATATATTTCTTTCCATAAAAAACATATCACACTTATTTTAGGACAACATTAAAAGGAAAATAAGACTTAGAGCCCGTTTGGTAGCACGAAAATCGGCTGATTCTGCTAAAACTTATGAAGTTCTGGCTGAAGTGGCTGCATTGGCTGATTTAAGAAGAAAAAATTTAAAATTATATTTTATTAATAAAACAAAGAAAAAACTATATGTAAAAATAGCTAAAATGGTCATCTACAGTAACTTCAGCCAATACAGCCAGAAAAGTAACTTCAACCTTACTTTTTCTGTTTATTAAAAAGTTCAACGCGCGAAAACAAAAATTATATATTTGGTGAAAAAGTTGGCTGACAAGCCTCATAAGTCAAAAAACGGTATTACCAAACGGCTTCTTAGTAAAATATGGGGTACTAAAAATGGAGTGTTACGTTAACTTCTAAACAAATGTAGACAAGAAAGTGTTTGACAACATGTAGTATTATCCAACGTGTAAATTATCAAACGACCGAATGTGAGTTTCGCAAATGAAACAAGAAAGTTTTTCAAACAAATGTACTAGCTAGCTTAGCTAGTAGTTCCGGCCATGAAATGTTTTTTTGATCATAGGTGCCATGAAATGTTGAAAATAAGAAATAAAAGAGTTGAAAAAATAAAAGTTTTGATTGATATTTAAGTATAATAAAAATGAAATGGTGTGCATTCTATATTTCTTTCCAGCATAGGAAATATTACACTTATTTTAAGATAAATAGATAATATTAAAATTACAGAAAAATAAAACTTGGTAAAATATGAGAGAGTACTAAAGCATGGAGTATTAACTTATAAACAAATGTAAACAAGGAAGTGTTTAACCATATGTAGTATTGTCCAACGTGTAAATTATGAAACGAGCCAAATTGAATTGAGTTTCGCAAATTAAACAAGAAAGTTTTTTCAAACAAATGTACCAGCTAACTAGCTTAGCTAGTAGTTCCGGCCAAATTAAACAAAGAGATCGCTAAGGCCGCAGCCATGGCCACCCAAGCGTTGAGAGAGACGGAGGCTGAGCCGCTCTTCTCGTCGGTTGGAGAATGCTCAGGGCTGTGATGATGATCACTCGACGGGGCCGGACCGGGAGGCGGAACCGGCGAAGTGGACGGCGGGGGCAATGGAGGACTGTGCTGCTGCTGCTGACTCACCGGAGATGGAGCTGGCGCCGGCGGAAGCTGTGGCTGATTAGCCGCCAGCTGGGACGGCGAGGGGGCCGGAGCTAAATTAGAATGGACGAGGACTTGGAGCTTTTGGCCGGCCTGACAGCGGCCGGGGATGCTGCAGATGAAGTAGGCGGGGCCGGGGGTGTCCAGCGTGAAGGCCTCTATGCCGTCGGTGGGGAGGCCAATCGGCGATGGGGCAGTGCATGCCGTGAAATCTTCGGCAGTCACTCTGAACACATTATCGTTGCTTGGATTGAACCTGAACACTATCACCCAGCATGTAACATTACTATTCTTGTTAATTAATGTTGTTATTGTTATGCTACCTGTTACTCCGTGATGATTAACAGCCCTTTTGGTAGTACGAAAATCGGCTGTTTTGGTTGATTTTGATGAAATTTATGAAGTTCCGGCTGAAGTGGCTGCATTGGCTGATTTTGTTGATTTAAGA